TTTACACATGTACATGCATTTAATGCATCTAGTATTGCTTACTAGTATAAATACCCCAAGGTAGATGTAAACGGTTCTGAAATCATTAATATCAGATATATTTCTCTAATTCTCTCTAACGCTTAGTTCTCCTTTTTTTCTACAATACCAACATCGTTTGCCAGTTAGATGTCACCATCATTCACCCTCCATTGGAGGGGGTATGGCGGGGTCTAGTTAATACAAAAACAAGGAAAAAGAAAAATGCAAGCCTCTGATTTATCTAATAGGCAAGAAACCATGCTGAGAAATAAAGATCTCAAAAGCTTGCATCCTTTCACCTCTTGCCAAACCATTACAATCATAAGAAGAAATCTCATTAATGTTAAGATCAATGCAAGCCTTTACAAGCTCTTCACCAACGCGTTTGGCTGCTTCCTGGCATTAAATGAGGTCACACATTGCAAGTTACTTAACACAGCAAAGACAAAGCAAGTCAGAACATGATAAAAAACTGAGAAACTAATAGTTAACTTTTGGGATGAATCGTAAACATAAAAACCTCAATGTGGCTCTTTTGACTGTGCCAAGATTTGTTTGTTCTTGAGTATTAATCGGATCGTTTACTCAATTTAGATTTTTACTGATCCAAATGTAGGATGAATCATAACAAAAATATGCCAAAAGAGTTTGACCTGACACAAAGGATACTTACTATGGTGCTGCAAGGGGGGTCGCCACGAATTGATTTTTGCAGAGTGCTTCTGTAGAACAAACATTTCTGGTTTTGATCATCTACCAGCATAGCATACAGCTGCTTATGTGAACAGAACACTGAGAGCCTTGGTTTTGCCGGGGTACCATTGTACTAAACAAGAAATATTGTGAGCCATCGGAGATACATATATTTACGCTAAAAGTCCTCTATTTTCGCTGAAAACGCTAAATCGTAGAGATAAGGCTAAGTATTTGTGACACTCATATCTTGCTGTGTGTTTATCCGTTTGGAGCGTATTATATCTCCTTGAAAAGATAGATCGGAGCTCTAAAGCTATTGTTCCAACTTTATTTACAATGCATTAATTAAAAGTTACAGATTAATTAGGAGCCAAAGATTCATTATTTTTTGGCTTGAGATTATGATGGAATAAAGCAAAATGACTCACTAAACTGTCTGCGCTTCTTTGTTATGAAGCAACAGTCAGTCTATGCAATTTTGGACGAGGTTTTCACTATGGGTCATCCGAAAACAGTCTCTCTGTGCTTTAGTACAGGGGTAAGACTGCGTACATCCGACCCCCCCTTACCTCACCGTAGGTGGGAGCCTTTTGGCACTGGGGTAAATGAAAATGAATGATATATATAGGCTAGAGATCAAATAAAAAGAGGTTCCCCGTGCAAAGTGAAAACACTTGCACTTTTTACTCACCGCGTTGCACTTCTGCGTATTTCTGTTGCACTTTTTCGCGGTGGCAAAAAATTTCGTTTTAATTACGAAATTGTCGCCGCGTTTTTGATCAAATTTATTTCACTGTTGGCTCATTTTGAGCCATTAGATCTGAAAATGAATGCACGAGATTAATTCTCACTTTGCATGATAAGACCTTTTTATATATATATAGTAGCGATCGTGTCAGGTCGGCCTGACAGGACTCGTCATCCGGCCGAGGCCATCAAAAGCACTTCCTCGTGGAATTTTCGATGAAATTTTTTGAGCATGTTCTACATCAAGGCTAGTTTATCTATACCAAATTTCAGCTAAAAATTCAATCAAGAAGGCAGTCAAATAAATTGTTGAAACAAACTGCGCTATATATATATATATATATATATATATATATATATATATATATATATATATATATATATATATATATATACAACGCAGTTTTTGTAAAAAATTTATTTGAATGCATTTCCGGTTGAATTTTTAGCTGAAGTTTGGTATGAATAAACTAGACTTGATGAAGAACATGCTCAAAAAAATTCATCAAAAAATTCCATCGGGAAGGACCCCAAATGGCCTCGGCCTGACGGAACCTCCCTCAGGCCGGCCTGATATGACCTGTCTTCTCTCTATATAGAGAGAGAAATATTCCTCTCCGGAGTTCTGAACAGGAATCGTCGTCCGGACGGCGGCGTTTCGGCCTCTTCCGGTTGATTTTTTTGTTGAAATTTTTATGGCATGTTCTTCATAAAGTCTAGTTTATCCACAAAAAACTTCAGTTAAAAATTCAATCGGGAAGGCTGCAAATAGTTTTTGGAAATTAAATGCGTTTTATATGAATATTTTGGGCGCAGTTATCTTCGAAAAATCATTTGACGGTCTTCCCTATTGAATTTTTAGCTGATTTTTTTTGAGGATAAACTAGACTCGATGAAGAACATGTCATAAAAAATTTCATCAAAAACTTCCATCGGGAAGGGCCCCAAATGCCTCCATCAGGAAGGCCTGACCGGAAGATTACTCTCTCTATATATATGTGAAGTAATCATCACCTCAGGTAATTCTGACGTGAAGCCCCATCCGAACTTACGTATTAGAGGGCCTTCCCGGTGGAATATTTTGATGGAATTGTTTGAGCGTGTTCTTCATCAAGTCTAGTTTATCCACAGATCATTTAAGCTAAAAATTCAATCGGGAAGGCAGTCAAATAATTTTTGGAAGATAACTGCGCCAAAATATACATATAAAAACGCAGTTATCTTCCAAAAATTATTTGATTGCCTTCCCAATTGAATTTTAAGCTGAAATTTGGTGCGCATAAACTAGACTTGATTAGTAACATGCCCAAAAAATTTCATCAAAAAATTCCACCAAGAAGGTCCTCTGATAGGCATGTTCGGACGGAGCTTCTTGTCAGAACTACCTGAGGTGATCTTTTTCCTGTATGTGTGTGTGTGTGTAGAGAAGTGATCTGGTCTGGCGCGTCTGACCAGAGGTGTCGTGCGGACTTGCCCATTTGAGAGCCTTCCCATTGGAATTTTTTGATGAACTTTTTTTTGCATGTTTCTCATCAACACTCGTTTATGCATACCAAATTTCAGATCAAAATTCAATCGGGCAGGCAGTATGTTTCAAGAATTTATTCGACTACCTTCCCGATTGAATTTTGAGCTGAATTTTGATATGGATAAACTAGACTTGATTAGGAAAATGCTCAAAAAATTTCATCAAAAAATTCCATCAAGAAGGTCCTCAAACGGGCAAGTCCGCACGGCAGCACGGCGCATCCTGTATGTATGTATGTATATATTTATGTATGTATGTATTTATGTATGTATTTATGTGTATATATTCAAGAAGGTCATTCCTCTATGTATGTATGTATTTATGTATGTCTTTATGTGTATATATGTGTATAATTGTTTATGGCAATGGATCCAACGAAATATCTAGCCATTGTCTGGGTGACAAAGTGAAGTATTTAAAGATATCAAACTCTTAAAGTTTGGCAAGTGTTAAAACCAGTCAGGTAATTTGGATTGTTTTTACCAGTAAATTAATAAAATCTTAGTATCAAAATCTTTTCAAGCGTAAAAAAAAGTTAAGGTTTGATGTTAGAGAAATCTTAGCTAGCTTCTACAGTTCCAAAGGAGTGTCACTTGGTGGAGTTCTCTTCACCTTGTTAATTTGTTTATCATTAATTTTATTCTGATAACATTATAAAGATTTAGATGGACCATCAAACCAGACCAAAAAGATTCAAACACTACAACAGATGATACTCTTGTTGTCTGTTAATTAGCTTTGCCTTTTCACGATTTTAACGCGCACATTTTGATCATTAATATATTCAAATACATATCTTCAAATATGTATTGCTAAAATTATGAAAAGTTATGTTAAAAGTACATCTTTATACAAATCTAACAAGATCCCACATATAATTTCTTAATATAACCATACTGACTTATGGATGCAGGTCTGAAGTTGGAAAATTATTTGCTGAAGTGAAAAACTAATGTTTCTAGCTTTTGATTCGAAACTTTTCACCCTAGATTTCTTGAACCAAACCTATCCTTGACCAATTTATTCATAAAATCCATTGCACTTCAAAACAGTGCCTCATACCCTTTAACCGAAGTCTACATTTTTCATTCTGTTAGCTTTTAAGGTTCAGTAGCCAGTCTTACGGTCATCAATCCAAACACTATCCTTCAGTTTCATCTTGTTATGCCAAAATAACCTAATTCATGATTGATCTTTAATTACGTTTCCACATAGAAAGACAGAAAAAAAGGGAGGATAAGAAGCAACCGATTCTCACCTTTTTTCTTAATCTTATGTTCCGAACCTTTGAATTTTCTGTCCGAGTATTGGCCCTTGATGTGGCTTTTACAACCAATTTATCCAAGACTAAGTCTGCAAAATGTGCTTCAAAGGGAAGATGGAATGAACAAATAGAGCCATAAACTAATTAGATGAATCTGGTAAATCAAAGATGCTGAGACTCACTTCTGCTTTGCATGGAAAGGACATGGGAGAAATTCATACATGTTCCGAAGTGTGGACTAGTTCTGAATATGAGTGATTTGACTCCAGCAGTGACAAATGTCACAGATTCAACCACCATTTCCAGAAGATTCTTTGTTGCATGTGAATTGTGAAATAACTGCTAACAAATGAAAACATTATCTTTCAAGAATTTAATCAAACATCTAGCATGCCTGATTTATTGAGAGGATGATAAGGAAGTGTAAGTTTCTTGCATGTGTTTCCCTTTAGTGGAGATTCGTCTTCTTTGACAAAAAAAACATAGAATGCAGGGGAGTACTCCGAACTTTTTGCAAATGAGCAATTATTCAACAGATTTTTTTCCCAGTTATTCCCAATTCTGGATACTCCAGGTTGCCACGGGTTTAAGAAATGCAGCAGAAACAGAAAAGGCAGTTGAGTAGATAAAAAAGCATTCATTCTAGCGGTAGAACAATTATCATACTACCAGGAACTAGCAAGATCAGATGAAAACAACAAATAGGCAAGGCAGAAGGCGAATGTCTACGCTAAGGGTGACTGGTTAGAACCAATTGTCCCAAGCTAAATTTCAGATTTCTAAAACACAAAACACTAGTTCAATGTATCTTCGGTAATTTTCTTTTTGTATATTTGGAAGAATTAGATGAGCTTCTAAATATAAAACCACAAATTTTGTACAAAATATCAAAATAAATGGACTTCTTTCGCAATTTCATTCCACTCCGATCCTCCAGACTTGATCTGAAATAATACATAAAAGTAAACAAATATGTACACCATCAGAGATCAAGATTGCATGACTCTCCTACAAAAGCCCCTACACCATCCACCAGGTAACCGCTGCTTAATGCCTTTTTTGAGGGGGGGCTTAAACAGTAAACACATGCAAGTATGCAACCAATGCAAAGCTCTCATAGTGGGAAGCGAGTTATCATCTAATCAGCACAATTGTTCGGCCCCCAAAATTCTAGCATCTTTTCATCATCCTTTAAAATGTATCCTTTAGCCCCCGGGGTTTACTCTGCAACAAAAGTTCAAGAAAGCAATGTTCATACGTTGCATCTGCATTCGCATGTCACTCTTTTTTATTATCAACCAATAATGCGTAGTAACTATAAATTAACTGGGGACAATTTGCAGCCAAAATATCAATTGCCCATTTAGCAAACCAACAAAATAAAACTGCACTGAATAAGTTGCTCTCACGTGTTCCTTTCACTTCTGTTTGTTCCTTCTTAAACTTCCTTCATCCCAAAGTGCTTGGTGCTTAGCAATAAAAAATTGTCCAATGAAAATAATTTTAGGAATGACAGAATGAGATGCAATTTTTCCCTTACTGCCTTTCAAATTTGCTCATATTAACTTTACCAACATTAAATGCTTTTGTACTTCAATAAGAAATAAAATGCATTTAATGTTACACATGAATAAGAATAAGAATAAGAATAAGAAGGTCATTTTATAAGGTTTCTTTTCTTAATACAAGTGGGTATTTTTTCCAGAAACCTCTGTGTTTAGGAACTGAAGTGGTAGAAAGAAACTAATTATCACTTAAGGGGCACACTTCTCAATTTCTGAAATCTCTACTGTTTATAAGGAGCATACTAGTCTTTTTTTACATGATCAATTATCACTTAATTTGTGCTACTTCCAAAATAAGGCTCATGGTCTGTATTATGAGCCGTTAAATATGCTTGAACTTAGAAGAACGAAATATTATGAACGATACAGTTCTTCAATTAAAACTTAAAAGGAAGCAAGAAAGTTCATTTAGAAAGAAATATTATGAGCCACAAAATTCTTTCCTTAAAAGGAAAGAACCTTACATTGGGACAAACAAAAAAAGTAAGAGCCATGTCTTGGGAGAGAGAATACAATCTAATTTTCTCTTAATGAACACTTAATTAATTAAGAATGTTGAGTATGTGTCATTACCTTACTGGTCGCATCTTCCACCTTCCAACCACTCTTCCAATTCCGCTTCCCTGGTTGCCCTAAACTCCTCAAACTTACTTGAAAAGGACAGCAACTGATCAGTACTAGCCTTTGCAAAAGTTGGTGAAGACGGCACTTTGGTTTCAAGTTGAGCCCACTTGAAGCTACTAGCTTTTCGCCTGGCTGATTTCAATACACTAGACAGATAACTGCTGTTGTTATCACTGCCATCCAAATTGCTGTTTGTGCTAACACTCCCAATCCCAAAACTGCCCCTGGGGATAGTTATATTTAATAATCCTTTTTTTGGTTGGCTTGCTGTCATGACAGAAAGGGAGTATTTGATGTCTTTGTTCATCTCTTCAGCAATCGAAAAGCCAAACGCTTTCATTGATCTCATTACTGTTATAGAATCCTCTAAATCTTCCATATGTAAAATCACCTCATGAGATTTCTCCACCACATTCTTGTTAAGGTTGACCAGGTTGGGGATTGCGTTGTGGGTATGTTGTTGGATGTAGAAAAGCCCCACCGATGGTTCATTTGCCAGATATTTTATCATGTCTCCCAAGTTATTAGTTATATCCACAAAACCATCCACCATACAAAGCTCATGCATCCTTTTAAGGCCAAAGGCTCATCATCACTGGCAAATTCAATGACAGAAAGTGAGAGCCAAAAGTTTCCAACCTGCAGCTATGTGATGGTGTAACCTAAGGTTCTGTTTCGTGACGTTTTTGTTTTTGTTTATTTTTGTTTCACTTCTCTCAAAACAGGGAACCCGAATATGTGTTTGTCAATCGTATTAAAAGAAAATTTAACAAAACATTTTTCCAATTCTGCTGCAGTTGCAAAACATTGAGAATTGTTACAAAAATCATACTAGTATATGTTTGCTATAAATAAAATAAATGACATATCCAGTCCGAATCTGCTACAAAAGAGAGTTGAAAATAGAAAATATAAAGCACAAAGTATGATATATTATTAACAAAAATAAGAATAATAAACAAACTATACATTTTCCGAGGAAGCTTATTAGACTATCTGTTAGTGCTTAAACCTCTCTTACCTCCTACTACAAATTGCCTCCACCAGAATGATTGTTCACCATTATGACATTTTATTTATTATTCATATATTTTTTAACCCTGATCTTTGTCAAGTTTAGATAATTTTCTAATTAAAAAACTGTCTATAATATCTATGTGAATAGTGAGTAGATATGAATGAATCTATCTACCTATTAACTGATTTCTTTTGTGGATACGATACAGCCGAATAACTGTGAGAGTTAAAAAGGGGAAAAGATAGTCAAGTAGCTGTAGAAGCAGAAAATTAGCTGTGATATCAAAGATTCTTGGCTGTACGAATTAAAGGATGGCAATTAGATACTACGCTTTTTAGCTATTAGTTATGGATTATTAGATACAGGAACAACTATTTCTACATTTTAATCATTAATTAATCACAACATTTTTTGGGAGAATTTTTAATAAGTAAAAATTGAAAATAGTACTTCATAGTTCATAACAGTAATAATGTACGTGGTAACAGAAATAGGGAGTTGTAAATTTCAAGTTATGTGACACGCATAAATCTTTGCTAGGAGTCTCAAGCATCAATGAACTGAAGTAGGGTGCTTTGCTTAAGTATAATGCTTCAAGCATCCTTCACAGCCAGTGATATGGAAGTACAGGACCTTTGACATCTCTCTCTCTCTACATGTGTGTGTGTGCAATTACATCATGAAACCTGACCAAACACATCGCTGTAATATTACCTTACAAAAATGTATTGCAGTATAAGTAACCAGCGTAACATTGAAATAAGGAGGATCTCTTTTATTTGAAGTAAAAACTAACAAAAGCCATTCAAATACCGAAAAAAGTTACGAAGACAAAAAGAAGCCTATTATTCTGTGCTAAGAAAGCCTTCTGAATTTGGTAAAACAAGTTCTAAGCATGTAAATCCCAAAAGTTCATATTTTATTACGCTAAACGCAGAAGTGAGTCATTTTCAGAAAGGGCACCGTTACAGGAGTAGAATGTGAACATTTTTTTGCTCAAGATGGATATTTCTCTAATTCTGAAAATGTCATATAAACATCATTTTGGACATTCTTAACCTCCATAAGCCAGTCAGTAATACATACATACCCTTCCTAGCCAAAAAAACAATGGCTAAGTTCTAGCCAAAAATGACAACATTCTTCAACAATAATGACATAACTATTAGAGACAACACAGTCCTAATTCTAGGAAACCAGAGCTGAAAGGAATACCACCACAAAATCAGTGTTCTAACCACCCTAAAAGTAAATATCATTTCTAATGTTCATAAGCAGCACAGCGCAGCACTACTGCAGCAGTATAACACAACATAAGGTATAATATAAAGATGGTTGGATGGTTAGAACACACACCGCACTCTCATATTCTACAGGAGCTTAGATGCAGGGCAGGTCCCAAGAAAATGCAGACCTTGTGCAATAAAAAAATTGGGCCTTCATGTCCCAAGAAAATGCAGACCTTGTGCAATAAAAAAATTGGGCCTTCATGTCCCAAACAAATAAATAAAGCAAAAAATAAAGATGAAAATAGTGATGAGTTACCCAAAACTTATGTCAAAATACAAGGTACTGACGAACTATTAATCGTAAACCCAAAAAAAACTTATAGTTGTACCAATTTGTTAAATACAATTAGTTCCATTACTTAATCAAATAAATAGCAACCTCTTTGTTAAATTGGATTATAAATTATTCAGGCCTAATAAATAACTAAGACAAGAAACTCAATTACATAATAAGCAACAAGATTAACAATACATGAGAAGTTTAAAGATTAATAATTTATAATTTAAGAGAGAAAACTTTACCTGGTTCAGCGAGTCTGCGAGAGCCGAGCGGAACCCCCGATTCAACAGACTGGAGGCATACGGTAATCCTCCTCGACTTGTCCGGCCGTGGTGGCGGCCTTCCTTTGTCACTTGCAGAGCCAATTGCCGATTGGGGGATTAAGGAAAGGTATCGATAAACCAATTGAATTCTAAGGCCTTCCTTTGTCCTTTGTCCATAACAATTTTATTTGTTGGGAAAACTATCAAATAGTTACCTGTACTCTGATATATCGGCTCATATATCCTACACCCGGGCGTATGTACACCCGACACAACTGAGGAAGAGAGTCCAATAACTAATAAAGGCTAAAAAAAATTCGGTGTCATTTTTGTAATTTAGGCGAAAAATCATGACTTTCGCTAAATGGGCAATATTGTAACTTTAGTGAGCATTCAACCTATTTTATTGAGTATTAGGAGGCTAACAATGAGTATCACGATCTCTACTTATCTTCTAATTTTTGTTCTTTTTCTTATTTTTTATTTTATAAAAACTTATTAAATTATATTTATAACTCACTCCTATTAATTTGAATATACGAATCCAATGTAATATGATACTTTTGAAATATGCATTGATATGACATTTTATAAATGAGCATAATATAAATACCAAATGAGCATACATAATTTACAAAGTGCACATTGATATGAAAATCGTAAGGTTTGTTAGATTAACATCATGACATTTGAATTGAGCATCAAACCTCACCTATTGAGATGAAAATCACGGGTTTTGTTAAATGAGCATTAATGTACTTTTAATGAGCATCAAACATATTCTGTTGAGTATTAGAATTCCAATATTAAGCATTGTGAATTTTGCTTCATAACTTCTGATTCACTCTTTGTTTGTTATTTTATCTTTTATAAAAACTTATTAAATTATATCTATAATCAAGTCTTATGAATTTCAATATGCGAATCTAATATAATGTAATAATGTCATTTTAAAATGAGCATACAACCAAAACCGAATGAGTATACACAATTTACAAAATGAGCATCGAAAATTTCAAAAACTCATTTCAAATCTCCAATGAGCTCAAATGTTCATTAATGTTAAATAAATGCACATTTACTTTAAATGGTATACTCAATATCGTATAACACACAATTCATTTTAAAAACCTCCATGAGTACTCATAACTCATTTTAGAACATTATATCAATACACATTTCATGTAAACATTATACTCATTTGAGTATAAGATAAAACTCATCCAAAAGTATTATTTGCAAATACCCTTAATATGATTAATTCTTTTACTCAATTATGAGTATATTTTATAATGAGAAATATTAAGAAAATTTATTTATAATAAGTAGTTTTTATACAAAAACATTAAACAATGATATAATTCATAATTCATCATGATAAGAATGAACATTCACTTTGGAAATTTATAAGGGAGATGAGAATATCCTCATGGGGTAAATTTGAGCTAGCTATTTCCTGTTTCTCAAACATGACGGTAGTGCTGCAAATTTTTTGGATCAAAAACCTTGCTCACCAAAAACCCTGGTTCAGGCACAGCTTCTGGTATTTTTCTTTTAATTTTTTGGATATTTTTGAAAATCGGAGTTACTATTAATCGTCTTTCTCAGATGTTTTCAACGGCGTGCCCCTCTTGTGATACGAAATTCAAACACATGAACCACTTCGATAAAAAATGAAACACATGACCCTATCTGAAAACGGGCTCAACAACAAGTATATTTTTTGTACTTTTCCCTAGAAAAAATATTGGTACCTGAAGTATTTTATAATGCACAATTTAAAGAAATATTTTACTTATAAAAGAAGGTTAATTTTGTTTATTGAACGGAAGGAAGGTTGATTTGAAAAAGGGAAAAAATAATGGAAAAGGTCTTTAAGACAAAAGGCAAAAAAAAAATCAAAAGAATCTACGTATGAAGGAGAAAAGGAAGGAAAGAAATATGGCAAGGCTGGGAAAAGAGAGATGGTGTGCCGCAAAGAAGAATACGGACCAAGTAATAGTCTGATAATTATTTACACCCGGGTGTACCATATAAATTGCCCTAATATACTACCTCCGTCCCTTAAAACTTTGCAAAAGTTGACCGACACGGAAAATAATAAAGTAAAAGTTGTGTGGTTGAGGTTTGTGCAGAGGAGAGAGAAATAATAGAAACCACAAAATAATTGATTAAATGGGAAAGTGATAAAGTCTTTTGGGACGTCCCAAAAAGGAAAGATGACAAAGTTTTAAGGGACGGAGAGAGTACTACACAAAAAATGAATTGAATTCTCATACTATTAAATCATTCAATCAAATCCATCAACTATTAAAAGAAATCAATTAGACATTTTATCGGACTGATTGAAATTTTTGCCAGTAACTATTGACCTGAATGCCAACATTTGTTTTTTTCTCTTTTTTTGAAAGAAAAAGACTTACTTAATAATGAGAGTAACAGGAGACAAAACAATACAATAGCTCAAGACTACACCGGTGTGAGACATAGAATTGACTAGTCTTTGAGAACCTGTCAAATTCGCTAGTCTCACATCATGATAGTTTAATCTAACAGCATCATTGAACTTGCAGCTAAAATGTGAGATAACAAAACAAGAACTCTCTTAAAATAAAAATAACAAAATAATCCAAGCGTCCCAGTTTTACCCCCCACCAAGAAGGAAAAAGAGGTTTGTGCTTCCACCTCCAAAGGAAGCATTATGATTTTACCAGCTTTGGGAAGATGATTCATGAAGATTCCTTGGAGACTTGCATTATGCTAGGATGCAATGCAAAAGAAGAAAACCATGAACTTCTTGAAGAAGTTATTTACTTGCAAGCCAGAGCTCCTTTCAAACATTTTCGACAAAAATTTGAAGATCTTGGAACAAGTAAGTCCACATTAAAATCATCTATTGATGTTCCACCGAAACCATCTCTAAAAACTCTACCGGGGCATCTCAAAATATGCATTTATTGGAGATAACTCAACTTTCCCGGTAGTTATTTCTTCTTCACTCACATCTTTACAAGAAGAAAAATTACTACGGGTATTGAGGGAGCACAAAACATCTATTGAATGGTCCTTGGCGGATATTAAGGGTATTAGCCCTTTTTGAATGCACCGGATTTGACCAGTCACCTCCAAAGAAATCATCTCGTTTATGGGTCTTATCTGTATTTTAGGCGGTGTTGTTCTGTGAGCATCGCCTCCTTGCCGTTTTATATCCCTTGCAATCAACTTTCATTGACATTCTTTCATTAGCCTGATTTAAGCTCTCCATTAATGGCCAACAAAATGAACGTCAAGTCCGAGATAGAGAAAAAAGAGCAGTAGAATTCAAGGAACAAAAGCACAAACACGTTCACAATTGGACGGACCAAACCCTCTGCCAGAGAAAACTCAGCTGGATGAAACAAAAATGAGCAGAAAATCAGCCGAAAAGCAATCCCAAGCGATGAGAGGACCTTAATTACCGTAGCACAGGATTAGAGCCTTGCCGAGCTGCTGATGTGTCGTCGCGCCTGACAAGACCATGAAGATGCGTTGCTGCGCGGCTGGTGGGAGTCAATCATTCTCAATTTTCTCTCTCTTTTGTTTTCCCTTTTTGCTTTCTTTCCTTTTTCTCTCTTCTACTCTACCCAAACGCGAACAACTTTCCTTCTTTTCTTACTTTATTGCTTTCTTCTTTCTTTCCTTTCTTTATGTCGTTTCCTTCTTTGTTTCGGCTCCCTATTACCCGGCGAATTCGGCCGCCGTCTCCGACGAGTTCGTACGCTGCATCCGTCTCCGACGAGTTTGTCAGCTGTCTCAAGCGAGTTATAGCCTTTATAGGTGAACCTTTGTCTCTGGCAGTCATCTTTAACTGACTTTAGCGGTCTCCGTATCATACATACAGATGCATTCTCACTTCTTACGATAAACACTCTTCTCATTTGTTTCTTATTCTATATATATAGGGGAGAGTTCCTGTGAGAATGGAGTCTCAGGAGAGAAGTGAGAATACATCTCACACGTTAATTTTGAGTATCTAACGGCACCAAGTTAACTGGTCCACAGATTATACGATGCACTTAATTACATTATAATATGTTCCTACAAAATTGAGTGCACGTGTAACAATTAAGGAGGACATAACTGTAAGTCTAAACTTATGCCTGCGGCATCACAATAGCTAAGAATCCTAGGAATTAATAAGGAGTAACGTACTCTCTTATTCTAACAAATACTTCCTTTTATTTAATTTTATTTTCCAAATTTAGTATTCTCTCACATATGATTATTAGGACAACTAATTTATTTATAAATCTTTATTCGAATAATTGCATTTTTTTGTGTAATCGACTTTTCAAAAAAATGTTTCATTCATCTAGTTTTGTCTATTTGCACATCAATGTTAAATAATTGCATTTTTATTTGAAATATAATGCAATATCAGTTTAATTAAATATTTGAATATTTTTTCACTAATCTCAAGAGAAATGAGGTTTTTATGGAGTTAACTTGTGTGTAACGAACTGCACTTTTATTTTATTAATTTAGACTTTTTATAATATTAACCTACACTTTACACATGAAGTTGTTCACATCCATACATATTTTAAATACAAATTAAAATTGAATGTATATATACAAGGGTGTAAATTATCAACTATCACGTGCATTTTATTTATATAGAAAAGTGCACCATTTTATTAAGTTTCCTGAAGTTTTACATTGACACTCTTTTACAAAATAATATGCACTTTATTGTTTGCATTTCAAATATATACAAAAGTGCACTATCATATATGTCACTTTCTAAAATTTTACATTAGCACTTTTTACAAAATGAAATACACTTTTCTTACAAAAGCATCGTATTTGTTCAATTATGATGGCGTCTTCTGATGTCACCTGTATCCGCAAACAAAAGTAAATTAAAAAAACTAATGAAAAGTGCATGAGTAAAGTATGATAAGTGCATCATAAGTGTAACATAAAATATATCAGTATTATCCTAAACTTAGGTAGATAGCTATGATGCAAGTGTTCCATATTAAACACGTAAATGCATAACATGACAATGTAGGTGCACTAATTATTAGTGCAAATTTAGAAATCTAAATATTATATGAGTGCAAATCCACAAATCTATAAATTGTGCAACAAATACGCCCGAAAGTGCAAGAACAAACATTTAGTATTGCATCCAATTGAATATCCAATATTTATATGAA